ATACTATTATAAGAAATTCACAACAGTGTATCAGATTTGTTTTGTTTTGTTTTGAGACAAGGTCTCCCTGTAGCCCCAGGTGACCTGGACTTGCTATGGAGACTAGACTAGCCTCAGTCTTACAGAGATCCCCCTGCTTCTGCCTCCTGAGTGCTGGGACTAAAGGCGTGCACCACCATGTCTGGCTAACAATGATTAGATTTTAAATGTCTGAAGTGAATGTTAATTTATTATGGTCATATAATACAGACATACCTATATTTACACTTAGGACTAAATGTCTACAAACGAAAAAAGGATTAATGATTTGAAAGGCTGGTTTTTAAGAATGCTACTAATCACATACATAGAAGCTGTTCAAGTGGTTCTTGAAAGAGTATATTAAACGCTTGACTGATTTACTAGAAACTCATTTTTTGTTAGGCTGTGGCATCTGGACGTTAGTATTTCCAGGGAAATCTGAGTGTACATAGTTTTATCTGCTGAAGTTCTGAAACAGACTCACTTTTAGAAGTCATGATTCTCGTTGGTTGTTTAAGGCAATAGAGTTTTAATGAAATAATGCCTACATGGGAATTATGCAAGGGTTGACAGCACTGAGACTAACCAGGGATAGTCTCCTATTTTCCTTAATATTCAGAGTCATAACAAATAAAAATTTACAATAAGAAGAGGAAAGGGTACAAATATTTGCTGTGCAAAGTATTTTTATAGACAATCGAGGCTGGAGATATGGTTCAGTGGTTAAGAGCACTGGCTGTGCTTGCAGAGGACTGGGTTCAATTCCCAGCACCTATATGGCACCTAACAAGTGTCCATAACTCCAATTCCAGGGGATCTTATGCCCTCTTCTGACCTCTGTGGGCACTGCCCAACACGGGTGCACTTATAAGCATGCATGCAGACAATACACACAAGATAAAAAAATAAAAAAAGGAAGATCTCTAGTTTTGTCTTTAGAGTCTCTGTAAGAAGGATACAGTATTACAGCATTTTTACAGTTTACAGAGGAGGGGCAGACATTGAAAATCCGGACTTATCAAAGGTCACTAGCAGATGAGGCTGACGTTTGAATTCAGATACATCTTTTTTTTTGAGAAACTATGTTCTTATGAGTTTACCAGTCTAAAGATTCTGCATTTAATACACACACTGCATTATTTCTGATTGTGAAATATTCTTTACTATTTTCCTTCTTGTCCTCATGACAAAAATCCTTTAGCACCGAGATCTTCAGGTTCAAAGCATGTGTAAAGAAGCCTTGAGGTCCAGAAGGCTCAAAGACCAAGTCCTGAAAAGCTGTGGATCCAAGAGACCAACTGAAAAATTCTAACCATAGGATTCTTTGGAGAATATGTATTAATGTGCTTCCCTATTTGGGGACAAATGGTGACAGCACTTCAGATGAAACATTCTAACAACTTTCTAGGAAGGCTTCTCCATATGAGTTGCAAGTCTCCCTCTGCTGTGCACCCTTACAATGGAAGCCAGCTGTTCCAGTTGCTGGGCACCCATCCAGGAGGAATGGCTCAGCTCCGTGTGCAGTTTGCTTACTCCATAGGGCCTCGCTTGCCTTGGTGCCTTAGCACTGTCTTTCAGTCTTTTTTTTTTTTTTTGAAACAGGATCTCCCTGTAGCCCCAACTGGCCTGTAATTTGTTATATAGATAGGCTGGCCTCAAACTCACAGAGAGCCACTTCCCTCTGCCCCCAGAGTACTGATTTTAAATGCGTGTACCCCGAGTGCTGGTCTTAAATAGCAATATTTAAACCTGGCAATATTTTTAAATGGCAATATTTAAACCTGGAAATATTTTTCTTTCTATTACAGTTATGTATTTATTTATTTAGTGTAGGGGGTTGTATATGTGGAGGCAGAGGACAATTCTGTGGAGTTGGTTCTCTCCTACAGTGTGAATCTCAAGGGTTGAACTCAGATCATCAGGCTTGGGGGCAAGCTCCTTTATCTACTGAGCCATCTTACCAACCATAATTTTATCTATCTAAAAAACTAGTAAGAGGCCACTGGGGAGGTTCATGGGTGTTGAGATAGAATGCAGTGATATAAAGGGGAGAAGGAAATAATGCAATGGAAGGAAATCATGAATAGGAAGCATAAAATGGGTTGTAGACTAGGATGACACATGAGGAGGGACTACAGGAGGGATAACTAACACTAACGGACTTTTCAAACAGTTGTATGGAAACCTACTGTAAAAAGTTTCTCTCTCTCTCTCTCTCTCAAGTTACACATACACACACACAGACACATAAGGCAAAAAAGAGTTTAAATGCAGTTAATCTGCAAGGAGTTTCAATGGTCATATCAGACAGCACAACTAGCAAATAAAAAGTCCAATACTAGAAATGGTCTCCCTCTTTTGAATTTGTTGACAAGAGGTCCCATAGACACTCAAACAGTACTGACTATTGCCGTTGCTCTTGGTCACCCACCAAAACTTGTCAGTAAGACCCTACTGCTGAAGATACCACATGCGTGAATCACAGAACAAACAAGGAGAAATCATGCTTTCATTGACCTCGAAGCTTCATCTCCAGTGGCTAGCTTTCATAGTACAAGGTCCTATGCATGTTACTGGAAGAGAATAGGAATCGTCAACCCTGACCAGCTGTGAACCCTGCAGGCTTCAATAATGACTGGCCTCTCAGTACACGCCCACTGGTGCAATAGTGTCAACAATCTGATGGGAGTAACCAACCATCTTCAGGTTGGATTTAGGGTCCCCTTCACAGCCCATGCTTTACAATGTTGTTAATGCTAAGAACCTGTTGGCATAGGGATCCCTTAAATTTTTGATTATTTTTATTTTACGTGTATGAGTGCTTTGCTTGTGTGTATGTAAGTGGATCATGTTCATGTGTGTACATTCCCACTAAAGGCCAGAAGAGGATGTCAGATTCCAAGAACCCAGAGTTTTGGGTGGTTACTGACCAACACGTGGGTCCTAGAAACTGACCCTCAG